TCCAGTCACCTGCCAGGAGAGAAACAATACAGGCTGCAGATCCACATCAGGAGGCGAAAGGCAGCTACTGAGTAAGCCAAGTATTGAGTGGAACCGTACTTCCATTGAAGACCTGGGTCTCATTGATTCTTCCTATCACCGTGGTCTTTCCACTCTCTTTATTTGTTTGCACCAGGCCACCAAAGTCGTGTGAGGTGCTGTTGACCTCCCTGCATACCCTGAAATGGTAGATGTAGTTTTCTGTTTTGCCCTTATCCACAGTCACGTTAAACCTGCAGCAGGAAGACAGAAAAGACAGCCCATTGGCTTACAAAGAACACTCACAGCAGTGGGCACTCCAGAGCAGGAAGCCCACCAGAGTCCATTCTGCAGCCTGACCCAAACCCTCCCTTCCTTGCTGCCCACTATGCAGCCCCAAGGCCTGCAGGGTGTTGTGCTGTACCTCATGTGGCTCAGGGGCTCCAGTTTCTTCAGCAGGGCTCTCTCCATCTGCGACTCACTGCTCTCATCACCAACCACATCACAGCTCCTCTCTTCTGACTGTTCGGCCCCTGCTACAGCGAGGGCCACAAAGACCAGCAGCAAGGCAGAGGTATGGCAAGGTGCTGACATCCTGGACACATGCCACAGAGAACACAGGATTAACTTCAGAAAGGATTTGTTGCAGCATCCTGCAAACTAACTTCAGGGTCATGGAGTCAATGATTAGCCACTTCCTCAGTCCTGACTGCAAAAAGGAGAAGCTGAAATCTAGAAACAACTCACAGTTCCCAGGAGACACTAAATCTGAATCTCCTGTTCAGCCAAAGACAATTCACTGGGCCGATTTGGGGCTCTCTTCTGAATTTGCCTTGAGACCACAAAAAGTTGTGCTGCTGAGCACGTTAATTAGCTCCCAGAGCAGAGTCCAGCAGACTGAACGCTGGAGTAAATTTCAGGCATAATCCACTGTTTGTTATGGCGTTGCACTGAGAAGCCAGTCAGCAGAAAATTATTTATGAGGCCTCTAATCAATCATCTTCACAGCTCTCGTGTAAAGAGTGCACAGGGAAGAGCCACTGTGATTAGTCAGGCTCTGTTTGTTCAAGTGCCTTAACCTTTATAATGATCTTTTCAGTACTCCTTTAACTGAAAATCTGAAAGACATTAATAATGCTAAACTGCAACTTCACAGAGCAGTTTCTTCCTTCCCAGTTTCCACCAGAAAGGAGGAAAGCAAGCCATCGTATGCAAGATCCAATCAACAAGGCAGTAATGAAGATAATAACAGTAATAATTAATAATAATAACAATAATAATAATTTATGAGATTTGGCTTTCAGGTTCATGCTAAAATCACAAATGAAACATTCAATTATGGCACCAGCCAAACAAAGCAGTGCAACAGATCTCCCTCTGCTTCTTGTGCCGCAGATTTTGGTAAAGCTCCAGTCGCTGGTGGAAGGCAGGCCCTCCATTAAAGAAGCACCTGGCTGCAGGCGGGCACAGAGCCCGTCTGAGAGAAGCGAATGATTTCCCCAGAGCCCCCGGAGCCCATCGCCACAGCTCGCGGCTGCTGAGCGGGGGCTCTGCTCGCTATGGGCCACCCAAAGAAGGCTAGGAACGCAGAAATCACGGAATGGGTAAGGCTGGAAGGGACCAAAGTGGGTCACTCGGTCCAACTTCCCTGCTCAAGCAGGGTCGTCCTGGAGCACATGTGCCCAGACGGTTCTGGAATATCTCCAGTGAGGGAGACTCCACAGCCTCCACGGGCAATCTGTTCCAGTGCGCGGTCACCGAAATGAGGAAGCCCGTGACACGAGGGCTCGTGACTGCTCTCTCCTCAGGCCAAGAGCAGGACCTGCCCTCAGCCCC